TTAGCGGTAAAGAAGAGACATTTGTAACATAAAAATAAATAAATAAATAAATGAAAATAAAGAAATAACGAGAAAACCCCGCCAGCGTTTCTTGTGGTTTTTCAATTTTTTGTAAACAGCTCTTAAACACTTATCAACTAATGTGTGTGGGTGTGTAGGTATAAGTATGTGTGCGCATGTGTGTGAGTATTGTTAAGCCTCTCTCTTTGTCCCTCTCTCACTGTCGCTCCTGCTATCTGTTTAGCTTCATAGCTCTTGCTTTGCGGTTTGAGTTGTTAACAACAAGTTGTGGTGGGAGCAGCTAAAGCTCGATTCAAAGACCATCAATAACCAAGTTTGTTTATTTTTTAACCATAACTTAAATATAACTGAAATAGTTTGCTTAGTCTTTTAACTAGTAATAAATGTATATCTTGCGAATATTGTATTTGAAATATCGAATATTAAACATACTTGCAAATTGCAGTTGTCATATACCTAAATGAAGATGACATATATATATATATAAAAGTATGTATAAAAGTTGTTAGAGGTGATGCAAATGTGTTGAGCTAGCGACCTGTATCCCTCATTAACTTCCCCAACAACTTGTGCACACGCACAATGAAGCCCATTGTTCAATTATTTACATATAAACACAAATACACACACATATATATGAGAATAAATATTTTGAAGATATTTAGTATTATCTTTTTCGTCTTACATTGCGCAAAGTTTAAACAGTTGTTGGGCAGGCAAAAAAAATGAGTGCACAAAATGTGTTGACACAATTCCGAATACCCTTTTGCCATGGAACACAAAAAAACAAAGAAAAACTGTAACTGTAGTCAGCGAAGCAGCTGTATTTGTATATGTGTGCGCGTGTGTGTCTGTATTGGACATTCCAGCAGCGCAACAGTTTGTGCCATATGCAAATTTCTTACATTATCTGTCCAACTGTCTCTCCGTCTGACTCTGTCTCTGTCGCTCTGCCTGACAACTCATGAGACAATCGTCTGTCGCAGAGTCGTGCCGTTTTCTTCCTCCCTCTCCTCTGCTGCTCTTTTCTCCTTCTCGTATTTTCTCTTATTTTTGTTGCTGTCTGCTTTGTGTCTTGCTTTATCTGTGTGTGCGCTTGAAATTCCTTTGGGCCAAAGCAAATGACTTTGTAAGTAAATGCGTAATTACAAAAAAATGCGACAAGTTGTTGCTGCTATTATAATTATTGTTCATTTAATACCCTATTATACCCTATTAATATACAAAATAAACTAGAATGCAAAAAATAAAATGTTCATTTATCAAAATTAAAATGAAATTTAGAAAACAAATATCGAATCAAATTGTAGCAGTTGCTAAACAACTTAACTTTTGGAGAGTATTTTCTAGTCTTCATCTTCGATTGTCTCAGTTTTATTAAGTGGGTAGCACCTTAGCTAGCAATTCCGTAAGTTATTTCAGTGCCCATTGTTAGGAACGACAGTTTTATCTCTAGGCACAAAGTCTGGGCCATTGTATACATCTATAACAACATATGCGAATATATAATATAATATTATATATTCTGTTATATATTCTGAAGGTTGAATGACATCTGAATTTGGTTTAGTTATCTGTGAATGGGCCAGCGCTCGGCTACAAACAATATTTTGCAAAGACTAACAAATGGAACAGCGTTGCGTGTCATCGTTATCGCTATCGTTATCGCACACACCTCTACAGTTATAAATGATTGCATTCAATGCATATTAAAAGTCGTTATCACGAATGTCTGCTTCCTCTTCCCCCATGTCCGCTTGCTCAGTCGCTCTGCCTATCGTACGTATGACTCACTCAACGCTTGCAAATTGGAAATATTGACAAATTGGAAATTGAGTAACTAACTGTTAAATTAATACAGTCAACAGGCGCCATTTGCAAATTAGCTTCCTTCATTTCTGCAGCGTAGAGTTGTAGTGATTCAAGCTAAGAAAAAAACTACAAGCAAAACTTTTGTGTGCTGATGTTTATTCAATTTTATGGACATTAAAAAGGTAAGATTCAAAGAAGTGATTCATGCGGCGATGAGTGTGCAACCAAAAAGGCGATAGCTGTACGAAAAGAGCGAGACGGCATTATTCAGTTAGTCAGTCAGTGGAGTTGGGAATTTAACATGATTTTCAGTTCCAGTTTCAGTTCCAATTCCTATCGTCAGCTGTGGCCATGCACATTGAAGTTGTAGATAGGCCTGTCCCTCGACCCTTAATCGGCTTAAAAATGCTTTCAATAAAATATGAAGAAAACAAAAAAAAAAGCCTACGGATATGCCGCATCCGAAATACCCTTACATTAACAACCAAAACAGCTACACTCATTGTAAGAGGCTAATAGCCTCGGCATATAGGAGTGCTGTTTCGTCTCCATCTTTAATAACTTTACTTTGACATTGCCAACTTCTTTGACAAAGTTCACAATAGCCTGTGCAAGTGTATTAAGATAACATTTACAAAGAACAGCAACAACAACAACAGAAAACTGGTCAAACTCGCGCCCAGCAACAAAGCAGAACAGAGCGCGCGGCCAACGCCTGCGCAACGCAACGAGGCGCTCTACAGGTTTTTCAGGTCGTTTGGCGACGGCAGCAACGACTTCTGCGCGACCGGGTGAAAGCCAGAGCCGGGAGAGTGCAAGGAGCATGACAGCGCCCAAGAAACAGTAAGAAAAAAACAGAATGCGAGTACGTAAACAAATGAGAAAATCGTGGAAAGTGCTCCTTGTCCAAGAGAAGCAGTGTTGGTAAACACAATAATAGTAAATAGTTTTTAATAATCCTTAAACTTAAACAAATCCTGTTACATTGCTTACCTGGTTCTCGTGGGGCACCCAAACAAGACGTTTCTGTGTCCATTCGGCTTGTGTGGCCGGATCGTTGAATTGATTTCGCTCCACCGAGAGATATTTCAGCTCGGGGTCGTTGCGATCAACTTCTTCTGACATGTTTTTTCTTTTTTTTTATACTTTCTGCGTTTTTATATTCGTTATTATCGTTTTGTCGTGGCTATTATTAAAGTTTCTGTGGCTTGGGTTTGTATGCAGTTGTAGATTTTTAAATATTTTTCTGTTGGTTTAGCGGAAAAGATTAAATGCACATTAATATTAAAAATAACTTTTTAGCACATGTCACACACAAACACACCCACACGCATTGTAAACAAACATACACATACATACTCATTCACACATAGCGAGTTTCAAACGTCAAGATACACTTTTTGCGGCACATTTTTATCTGCAAGAAACGTTCGCCGTTTTTCTTCTTTCTTTATCTAAGAAATGCGGCAACAAAAGGCAGACGGCGAGAACGGCAACAGCAGCAGCAGCGGTAGAACATAGTTTCAAAAGGGAACCGACAAGAAACAAATATGGCCATACATTTTCTTAAGCCAGCGGTTGCTCTCACTCTCGCTCTCTCTCTATATATATCTCTCTATCTGTGCACTCAATGTTACTCTCAATCGTCGCAGCAGACATATTCAAACATCGTAGATGAGCAGCGGACAGCGTTCAGCGGAAAATAGCATTACGTAGCTGTTTGGCAATTAAAGTAACCAGTTTGCATTTTTTAAGCCGCAACATTTGCCTTGATTTTCGGTTATGGTTACTCTAATTGCGGAGCAGGTACGTCAGCAAAATGCGACTGCTGCTGCTGCTGCTGATGCCGCGGCCATCGTTCCTTCTTTTTGTGTTGCTTGTTCTGCACACACACAGACACACATACTCATGCACACTCTCATACAGGCACACACGAAGCGCAGTTTTCATTTCGTTTTTAATTTTCATTCTCTTATAAATTTGTTAATATTTTTCATATATTTGTGATTCCATTTCACTGTGTCAGCACTGCATTTTAACAAATTCAACGCAATTCGCACTCAATGCACATATTTCATTTCATTTGTTTTAACAAGCGGCTGCGACACCGACAACGACAACGGCAGCGGTTGCGGCGTCTGCTGGCCGGCGACTTTTTGGGCGTTGAAATTATTTTACATGCATTATTTTATAGATTTGCTTGGCTAGTCAGGCTTTACGTGCACTTGGATGTTGCTCGGTTGCAATTTGATTTCTTAATAAGCGGCAATTATGCGGTTTTTATTTGTTTTAAGCGACAGCTGCACTTCTTAAATTTTAACACCAACACACACTCTTATACAAATGGCGAACGCACCCAAAACGCGTCTTTCTCGTTCGCTGCTACCAGCACGAATGCCCGATGTTTAGTAACAGAGACACGGCAGAGCCAAAGCTAACATTTCGCTGGACTGTTATTAACAGTGTATGTAAATTTTATCCTACAAAAACACACATTGCTGGTTAAAAAGTTTAATGCTATGTGATTTTAAATAATATTGTGGAAAATATTTTTAAATTGGGGAAAAACACAATGTTTAATAGAAAACAATTCTAGACGGCAGCATCATAGCATCATAGGCAGCAAACGGCAACTGCATTTGAATTTAACAGCTGTTAGTTGTGCTAAACAATCGCTTACAGAGCAAGTACACAGTTCAATTTAATATTTTCTATACAATTCTTCTAATTCTATTTCAATTCTTAAGACACCCACGTTTTTCTTAAGCCGCACCAACTTTAATTGTTTCTGATTAAAATTTGAGCTATGCAAAATGTAAAAATATTCGATAATATTAAATATTTTTACTGGTTATCGATTATCGACAGTGACCGAATTGCACAACTTACATAGACAAATGTAGCAGTTATGTTTAACTCAAAAAGCAATGTAAGCCCGATTGTGGTGATTGAAGCAATTAAATGTGACAAATTATATACAAGAGTGCTAGAAATCTATAACTATATTAAATAAGATATTTTTAAAATAATTTCTTATATTCGAAATGGCACAGAAAATTTCGTACAATCAGAGATCGATAACACTTTTTTGGGTGGCCTTAATTTTTTGCTTTGCCGCCACATCGGCAGTGCCCAAATATATGGCGGCCGTCGATATGTATTTATGGTGCAGTGTCAAATGCTCATATCGATTGTGTTCATCGCGCGTCTGCAACTTGCTGGTAGCATCTCAGTAGTGCGACTAATTAAATTTAATACAAAGTCAACAAGATAAATTAGTGCAACACATTCCAGTGCGCAACACATATTGAGAGGAAGCCTGCACAATAAAGTAAATGAGCCAAATTTAAATTTTGTGACACCACAAAAACCAATACAAACACAGCCACGCAGCTTTGCGTGAGTGTGTGTCTGTGTGCGAGTGTGTGTGTGTGTGTACATGTGTATATGACATACATATGTGAAGTTTATAACGAAGCGTAGTTTTGTGGAGGCGCATTTTACGTGCAGGGCATACAAAAAGTTCGTAGGCGTTGAAGCTTCGTCAGCAACGGGAGCACATTAGCAGTAGCAACGGCGGCAGCAGCAACATAAAATCGATTCCCAGTGCATGCATTGTGTACATATGTGTGTGTGCGTGCGTGCGTGTTTGTTGCAAATGTAAGAAGCAGAGCCTCACGCGCTTATTTTCTCCCTTGCTGTGGTTAAGATAACAAAAAGAAGAAAAAAAATTCCATTAAAAATCTTGGCAAAAATCTCGCGTACAATCTGTGAACGTGACCAGTTGCTGCAGCTGAGAGAGAGGGAAAAATACAAATTGACAGATTTTTACCTTGTGGCATGTTTTGAGCCAACATAAACCAGGTATGTGTGCAATCAAATATCTAATTTAAGCAGTGTTAATAATATGATGATGTCGCTTTATATAGAAAAAATGCGCGCCCATTATTGCTATATACGTATGCATACAAATACACATGCGTGCGTATATAAGTGAGAGAGTGTTATGCTAAGTGCGTGTGTGTGTGTGAGCCAGTAATTTGTACATAACCTCAATAGCTCAATTGATTACGCTCGGCGATAGCACTTGGTAAAACAGGCGTCTTACGGCTAAATGAAATTCTCTACAAGTGTTATTCATTAATTATTAATTAATTAATCGCGCACAGCAAAGCTAAAAAGGTGGTTGCCGTCGCCTGTGCCTTTGTCAACGTATATGTGCAATTTCCGCAATTCTACTGCATCTAGTTGCGATTGCGTACGCCTTTTTGAAAAATGTGAACGTAGGCATTTTGTCTATAGAAATATTTGATAAAAAATGTATATATATATTATATATTTATACATAAAATGCCACAATAAATATTGCTGTAAAGGTATCGAGCAGAGCAACAACAATGACGCATATCGCTTATACAAACACACGGTTGCAATCGCACACCAATAAATGAAAACGTTTAAGTGTGTGTGCGTTGTTTGAGAGAGCGGGCGCTCTCTTTCTTTCTCTCATTTTTGACGAAATAAAAGAACAACAAAATACAATGTTGTCAGCAGCTCTATTGCTCTCTCAATGCCGCTGTCGATCTCACTGTGTGTTTTAGTAAAGTTGAGCTTGGCTAGAACAAAAACTTTGTTTTTAAATGGAAAACTTAGCAAATAAGAATTTTAAAATACTTTTATATTTTTGAATATTATATTTTTATAATTTGCCGGCAAGCAATAGCCTTTATATATATATAGCTTTCTAGATTTTGTTTTTATTTATATTTATATTTATCACAGTTTTTGCAATTCTATTTGCATTTCTAGCATATTCCATTTGTTTCCTCTCCTGCTCCTTTGCTTTTTTGCAATTTCGTGATAAGACCTAAATTTGTATTTTTTACCAAGTCTGGTTTTTAGTTTGGGGTTTGCTGAAGCTCTTGGCTTTTGGCTTTTTGTCGCCTTCTCTTTTACTCTTCTGCTCATTTACCGAAAAGACGTGGAACTTGAAAAACAAGTTATAGTTACAAACGATCGCACTTCGTTCGAAATACTCTATTGTCCGGTTGTGTGCAGTTGGTCATAAATTTTGCACCAATTGTTAAATTATCAAATAATTATTAAGCAGTATTCAGAATATAAACTAAATTAAATATGTTTTGGCTTTTCAAGTCTGCCGATTTCGACTTTATAAATTTGAAAGTGTATGCAAAATTCGTCTTTTCGTCCTAGTCTAGTGAAATTTATTACGTTGTATTTGTTTTGTGTCACCTTTTATGTAAATAGAGACTAGCTCAAGCTTTTTTTCTTTAAGAAATGCCTTTTTCTTTCTGAACAATGAACAAATCGTTAACCCCGAACATTAAGTGCAAAATTCTTGATATTTGCAATCAATTTAAGTTACTTCAGTTGCACAGTGTTTAAGTTTTGTAGCTATATATTATATCAAATATATGTTCTATTCATTGTCAATAAAGAAAAGTAAAGTTTTTCAGTTGTAAAGAGGTACAAAAAAGTCTTATTTGGATATTATACAAAGAGTATAATTTTGTGTCTTCTTTAAATTCTTAGACTCTGTTTAGCCCTTAGCTTTTATGCATCTTTAACTATTCAAATTCGGCAAATATATGTCAATATATATAACCTATACAACAAAGAATTGCTAGGGCTTAATATTATACACATTTATAAACAATCATGTACAATCGGCAAGTGTTTAATGAATGGAAAGTTTTTAGTCGATCTTCAAATCATTTTCATTGAGTTTTACAGAAAAATAAGTTTGTTCTTTAAATTGAAACCTCTGTCATTCAGTTTTACGTGTTTATCTCTAAAAGCTTTCGTTAAAACTTGCTTTGTTTTTTTATGACCATTTTTCTTGATTTGTGCAATATGATTTTGGTTTTTGTGCCTTTTTGCTGATTTTGCACGTAATTTTAAACTATTATCTGATACCACGAATAATTCCTGTAGCATTTACATATAAATTAAGAAAAAACGATTGTAAATTTTGCAACACGGCATAAAATTAGTTGTTATTACTGTTCTTCACAAATTGCCAAGTGCAATTTGCATTATGTTGACAATTCTTGTGCTGTTATTCTGCTCATATTCAAATACACATGTGTGAGTGTGTATATATTCGATGCATGTTTTTTTTTTTTTTGAATTGTTATTGTTGCGCAACAGCAAATAACATCGGACGGCATCTGAAATTATTTGTACACCAATTAGTTTATAAATTAAACCAGCTGAGAATACATACATACGTAAACAAGCAGCGGAAGTACCTGGAAAAAGGCAAACAAACTTTGTATCCATGTGTGTGTATGTGCGTGTGTGCACTGGACAGCATTTACTAAGATTGCAGCACGCTCCCACACACATATATACTTATATATATATATATATATATACAAAAATTCAAATGCACGCACACATGTGTGGTTGTCCCTTTTGCACTTGTCTTTCTTGTAGGTGCACGCTAAGGTAGTGCTCTTGTTGGCGTTACTTGTCCCATGCAACTGCTGCTGCATAAGGCGCCTGCTCGTGAACTTTGAACTTTGGCAGTACGTCATATGTGTGTCTAAAAATTCGTTCACTCGATTTGCATTGACTAACGCAGTTGCAGTTGCTGGTGCTGTTGCAGTTGCAGTTGCAATTGCATTTGTTGTGTAGCTAGCAGGTGACAGTGGCGCTGACTCTCTCATTCAGTCGAGTGCTCTCTACTTATAAGTTGCTCTCTCGTCGCCCCCGCTGCGCAATGCAGCAGAAGGGAGCACATGAAAAAGAAATCGATAATTGCAAGGTTTCCATTTCCACCACCACCAGCAACACCATGACGACGATGAGCGCACAATTCGCAAGTATACAGATTTTTATTGACGCTTCGCCGCCGCTAAGTTATTGAGTTGCTCTTTTTCTCGCGGCCGATCAAATTCCAACATGTGTTTGACCATTTCAGAGAGAAAGAGATAGGAAGAGAGCGGAAAGACCATTGCTCTCCCTGCTGGCCATTGAATGTATGTATGTTTGTGTGATGTGCATACATTTGTACACCATTGCCATGGTGAGACAGCGTTGGCATCACCGCAACTTGCATCCACTTTTTCTCCTTTTTTTTACCTTGTGCTCGAATTGTCTGGTTGCTTTCTATGCCCGCTGCGGTGTCTCTGTATTTGTGTTTCTTCTCGTTTCCGTTTTGACAGCAGCAAAAACTACAATTTCACCACCACTTGCAAAGAATATACACGTATGTACATAACTGCATGAATGTGTGTGTTTGTATGCGTGAGCCAAGTGGATGGTAAAGAAGTGAGGCAAGGTGTATGCCGCGTCGCCATCGTTGTCGCCGCTGCCGTCGCAGCCGCAAAGTGTAACCGTGGCAGTGTTGTAGCCAGCTACTCGTCTGTTTGGTTTCTGATTTTCAGTTTTGTCGATTTCATTATGTACTGCAATATCGCTGTTGCTCCAAACTCGTGAGTGTGGCCTCTATCTTTATCGCTTTCTCAGTGTGGGTGTTCTCATCTCTCAGCAAGTCTGCTCTCTGTATGTCGCTCTCACTACAGGGTGTCACTATGCTATATGCGCGCCATGATAATCGACAAAATCACCCTGTTGCCGTCCATTAGACTGTCATGCTGACTCTGTCACACCGTATGTAACTGTTGTGCGTTTTACACTTACGTAAGCTTTACGTATTCAAGTTTACGGGCCATTTTTGCACTTTTGTTTTAGATTGCTCATCGAAAACGTTGAGTTTCAATGAAAAATTATGATTAAACTTTCGATATTGACTGTCTATATTCTGTTGAAAATATGCTTCCTCTCTACTCCGACGTCGAATAATTCTGTTCATCGAAGTATGTCATAGACAATGAGCTGCGTATGGGCTCTCGGCGTGAATACGGTGTGCTTTATTCCGCACACATCCATCTGCTCGGCCGTTTCCACGAAATGTTTTCTGCCACACAGATTGCAATTTAAACGCACAGCAACAAGACTCGCTACATACCGTCGAATACATGTGTGCTGAGTGTAGATTATATATGCGACATATTATATACATAGCACGTATTTACTTTTGTACTCAAAGCAGCATTTTCCCCATTTTATTTTTTTTATGCTCGAAGAGGCTCGATGTTACTCTGCTGCGTTGCCTCCCTGTTTGACATGCTGCCTAGTAGTCCGTCGCCACTGTAGCAAAAGCAACAACAGCTACTAAAATGAAAATGAAGAATTCCAAAGCAACACTGCGCGCGCATTTACTCTTCATCTCATCCACCCGTTTTTGTTTCTTGCGCTCTCTCCGTCTCTTCGTTCGCTAGCTGGTTGGTTGGTTTGCTCTCTCCGCATTTCGCGCTCTTTTGTTTCTTTGCTCACACTGGCCGTCGTTTAATCGAAAATGTTTGCGGCGGCGTTAAGACGTACGAAAACGTTTCCTCGCCAAATTTTTGTGAATATCTGTAGAAATTCACTGGGAGGAAAATTATTAAAAAGTGAATTTAACATTAATAGTGTAAAAGTATTAAAACTACATCCGCTTACCGCGTAGCATTGTTCAAAAACTGAGGCTTACTCAATTGATTGTGGAAAACTGCTATAATACATACATACAATACAATGCCCATGTACTGAAGAAAAAAGGTGAAAAGTTGTACAGTGTGAAACAAATGTTAGTGCAAAATACTGCGTAAAACGTGAAAGTTTTGAATAACAAGCCAACGGTTTATAGTAAATACACTTATTTATGTATATGTGCATACATACATTTTTAATACATACATATGTACAACGTTTCTGATGTAAGTTTCCTTTCGCGGGGTGAGGAATATATAAGAAAACAGACCTAATTTGTGCTTAAATACATCAAAGTCGTTTAGTTATATGATAATTTATACCATCTGCGTACTTGTTCACAGCTAAAACTTGTGAAAAATACAATATTTTTAGGTTAGGTCAATTTCAATTGGTTTATATACGACGACGGCACACAAACACACACACACACGCAAGCGACATGCACAAAAGACATGCATACACATACATATAAAGCGCACAGACAAAAAGTCGTCGACGGGCTGCTCGCACTCAACACACACACATTCATTACTCGCGCACAGCCACAAACACGCGCATACACACACACATATACAAGTTTTTAACATTGCTTTTGGCTTGCTTGTGAACTGACTGTATTTTTTCAACGTAGTGTCGTTTTATTTTCGTTCGTTCATTCGTTCGTTCGTCCGCCTGTTCTCAGTTCGTGCGCTTATCTCAACTTTTGCTTTGATGCGCCATTCTCATGTACGTCTGTATGTATATTTTGTGCATATATATACGCGCATTTTAGAATCTGTGTGCGTGCGCGTATATATATATTTATATATAAATGGACTCCCAACACAGAATAACTCACTGGCAGCTGGCTTGGCGAGCGGCTCCAAGAGCAATCGTCAAAGTCTCTCGGCCTCTCTGTCTTTTTTATAAATATGCATGAGTGTGTTTTAATGAGAGCATCTTCGCTCACAACTATTCGGCTTGAATCTACTAGTCAGTCTACCTTCTAGATTGTTGTTCTTGTTTTGTATAATATTTTTTTACTCAATACATTGTCTATAAAATATATATACATACATACAGCTATATGTACATAATTATCTACACATCCATATGTTTTATGTATTTGCAAAATTTATTAATAGCATAAAGAGTGTGGTACCTAGAGTGTGTGTGCAAAAGCAGAAAAACAAAAAACTATTAATATACGAATAATGAAAATATACTGTGCAAAATAATAAGAAGTTGCCGTCGAAACTAAATATTTTTGCATACTCGCCTACATTTGCGTTATTCCCTGCTGTGTATACATAACAAAACAGATAAGATAATAGACGTGTGCACGTAATACAGCTATATAGCTGTGATGAATAAAAATAAAAAGAAAAAATGGAGGGAAAATTTGCCCACATGTCTCCCCTTCACAACACACACACACATGCACGCGCATATGAACATGAACAACTACAACGAACGCCCCAATTTTGCTCGAATGAGCTCTGCAACGGTGCTCACCGCGAGAGCGACAAATGTATTCATATATAAGCACATATGTATATATATGTCTGCGTACCATAGCTAGTATGGCGGTCGTAGCGGTGCTCCAAAATACAGACAGCAGCACACCAGAGCAATAACAACAAAAGGCCACACACAGTTATTCACAGAGAAGGCAAGAGAGGAAAAAGACTGGGAGAGCTGTGTCGTGTCGTGTGCCGCGACAAACGCTTTCAACTTGTTTTCGCATTTGGCCATAATACTTGAAGGATTATTTTCTGCGGGAAGTGCTACATACCACGGCAAACAGACACACACACACACACGCGCTCTCTTGATAACCAAAAAGTGTGATGTGTGCTATGTGGGGGCCCCGGTACAGTTTTCAAATGCAAATTACTGTAATTTGTTGTTTACAAATGCACATATTTTAAACGTTTGCTCATTGGACTCAACAATTATTTCGCTAAACAGATTCACAGAGGAGGTGGCCATAGAGTCATCCCATGGTATTTTTATTCCACTACCTCCCGCTAGCATGCATATACGTATATATACATACATACATACGCACAACCACACACACATATATACAGCCACAGACATTCGCTTCTAAATTCAAGTTATATTTACACTTTTAACGACACGAAAACGTTCACACTGGGGAGCACGCAAATGGCTTGCTTCTTGTTCTTGGCTGTTGTAGTTATAGTCGTTGCCACTACTGAGAGCCCGCCAAATACTTGTTTATAGTTGTTGCTGTTGCTGTCGTTGAGCCAACGTTGAAAAAGTCTTTGAAAAATATCCAAACTGCGCCACAAAACAAATATTCGGCCCTCTTTCTCTTCGTCTCTTGCCGTATGCGCTTACTCTCTCGCTCTCTTGCATGTTGATGCAGCAGAATAGAATGAAAGACGAAAAGCAAAGAGAGTAACAGCCGCCTCACCACCACCACTACCACTCTATGTACTCATTCTTTTGTGTGGCGGCTGCTGCGCTGCCTGCCTCTTGTAAATTGTGTAGATACAGGCAAACACCCTGTGCACCCCCTTTGAGAGACCCCTTCTCTCTCTCGCTCTCACGTCACACACTGGCTATGTGGATTTTTTTATGCATGTTGACGTCGTCATCGTTGTACATGGGTCATATAAAGCTCTCCGCGGTCTCTTGGCTGCTGCCCTCCCTTGCCAGTTTTTACTGTACCCGTTAAAAACAACAAAGCGCGCGCGCCCAATTCCGGTTGTGCTTACTTACACACACGTATACAGTCAAACACAAATACAAGAACGTACCCAACGGATGACTCTCTGATCTGATGTGCGCTCTGCTCTCAGCCCTCAGTTTGCTTGGTTGCTGCTGCTTCTGTTGCTTTTATTGTAGTTGTTATTGGCTGCGGACGTACAAAGAAATAATTTTCTACTACTCATACGTGAGCATACATAGTTTAGTGAATGTGTGTGGGTGTGGATATAGTGAAGAATTTAATGTCGAATAATTTTTAATTTTATAAGAAAGCTTAAATTAAAAAAGCAGATTTTCTATTTATTTGTTAACTCTAAAATACACTTAAAATACAAGAAAGAGAATAATTGATAATGAATACTTATCGAAAATCGATACTCTGTGCTTACATTATCGATGTGTGCTTGATTAATCAGCTGATTCTCAACTTACTCGAAATATATGAGTGATCGTTGCTGTTTCTTAGAGTCGTGTTTTTTATGCCATTTAAAAAGTATGTCATCGTCGAATATATACAAGTGTGTGCGTGTGTATTTGTGTGCATTGTACAACTAATTTCATGGTTATTTAATTTCTTGAATTTCCTTTTTGTTTTCAGTGATTGCCGATTGCCGGACGCAATTGCGACTGCGACGTGGCAGCGCTAGTGGAGACAGCGCCGAAATCTTAGCGTAAAGCAATTAGAAGTCGGCAAAAGTTTGAGTATTTTTGTGGCCTGCCGCTAAAGCGGACTGGCACGCGTCTATATCCAAATGCATAGACAACAACAACAACATCACCAAACAGAACAACATATGTTGGATACACGATCAGAGCAAGCGCTGCACTCCAATTACAGTTATCAGTTACGACCACGACCGTTTGTAGCCTACTACATACGCTCGTAAAAAGTACAATCCAACATACTACCCACCTAGGCGGCAAAAACCAGCCCCCTACTGCTACTCGAAACAATTTGGAGTAGCAAAAGTACATAAAAGAAAGCCACAAGCGACAGTAGTAGCAACAGTATATCCATCAGTACTCAAAATTCCTATCAAGCATGATGAAACGCACGCGCATCGATGAAGTCCAATTTGGCACACGTTCCGGCCCAGGACCGGGCGGTGGCGGTGGTGGTGCCAACAGTGGTACCACTAGCGTTGGTGTTAATACAGCCGGTGGAGTTACCATTGGCACTGTAGTGCCAAATGCACACAGCGGCATTGGTTCCATACATCATCGCATATTGACGCCGCAGCATGGCGGTGCACAGACCATTGCCTATCTGCCGTCCACAACGCCAACGGCAACGAATCTTAAAACAACGAGCAGCATTGTCGATAGCGCCAGCACCCAAACAAACGTTACTGGCGTTGGTGGTCCAGGTGGAGGCGTTGTCGTCTCCACAGGCAGTGCAGGCACGCAAACCTTGCAGTATACTACATGTAAGTATCATCAAATATCTTGATGTGAGGCCACCTGCTTATGCAAATTTCTTTACTCCAGCTTATAGCGTTGCCTCCATCCAAGCTGGCGGTACTATGAAGGCCAGTACGGCGGATGGGAACGCGGTGCAAATTCATGTAACGGGCGGTGGTGCTGCAGTTGCCGCAGCAGCTGGCGGAACAGTTGGTGGCGGTTCTCAGACAGTGTCGAGCAGCTGTCAAACAGGCAGCATACGCCAGCGCACCATAAGCGGTACCCAGACAAATGCCACCAGCAGCTTGACAACTACAGCACAGCAGACGCAACCATCTGCACAATTGTCAACGCCGCCCAATGGACCAGGTGTTGCAGTTGGAGCAGGAGCTGTATCTGTAGGTGCTGGCAATAGCACGCCACCGCAAGGACAGGCAGCAGCCGTTGGTGGCGGAGCCAGCGCTGCACCGCGACTTAAGGTCGAGGATGCGTTAAGCTATCTGGATCAGGTTAAATACCAATATGCCGATCAGCCGCAGATCTACAACAATTTCCTGGACATCATGAAGGAGTTCAAGTCGCATTGCATCGATACACCGGGTGTCATTGAGCGTGTCTCAACGCTCTTCAAGGGCCACACTGAACTCATCTACGGCTTCAATATGTTCTTGCCGCCCGGTTATAAAATTGAAATCCATTCCGATGCGCTTGGCTGCTCTGTTCCGGTTGTTTCGATGCCATCACCATCTGGAGCACCCAGCAGCACGGGCACAGTTCATATGATTGCCGCAGCGGGCAACAGTCCATTGGCTAGCAACGTGAATGCGCACACAACACTAAAGCCGATAACGCAAACCCAGGGTCCAGGTGGTCCTGGTGCAGGTGGTGGTGCAGCTGCAGCAGCTGCTGCGGCTGTGGCGCAGATACAGACGGCTGGCGCCGTCAATTTAATGACCCACGGTGGCGCCTCACTCACCCAGACCACGATACACGCCTTGCAGCCAGCTGCAGCTGCGGCTCAATCACCGGGTGGCCATGTACATGTGACCAGCAGCTCAGTAGTACCACCAAGCGGAGTTGGTGTTAATGTGGGCGTCGGTGTATCGCCGTATGTGCCACAGAATTATTCACGGGATCGAGCAGAGCAACGTGCAACGATAACGCCAACTGGTCCTGGTCAGGTGGCTGCCACCGTTTCTTCGACGGCTGGCTCCAGCATTGCAGTTGGCCCACCGACTCCCAATTCATTGAGTGAGCTAAGTCCACACGCAGGACCCGCTGCACAGCATAACTTGCATCACATCCAGCAGGCACATCAGTCCATTTTGCTCGGCGAGACGACGGGCCAGCAGAATCAGCCAGTGGAGTTTAATCACGCCATAACTTATGTGAATAAGATTAAGGTAAGCATCGACACATTTATAAGAATGATTCTATATAATAATATTAACTCTCCATTGTTTAGAACCGATTCCAAAGCCAGCCGGCCAAGTATAAGAAATTCCTGGAAATACTTCATGCCTACCAAAAGGAGCAGAAGGTGATGAAGGAGGGCAGCAGCGGCAGCGGTTTGAATCAAGGCAAAATGCTTACTGAGCAGGAGGTTTATACGCAGGTGGCTAAACTCTTTGGCCAGGATGAGGATCTGTTGCGTGAATTTGGACAATTTTTGCCGGATGCTACAAATCATCAGTCGTCCGCTGCCGCTGCCGCCGCTGCACAATATATGTCCAAATCGGCGTTGCACAACGATCATCACAACAAGCAGCAACAGCAGCGCACCACAACAACGGCCACATTGAGCGGTGGTGCACACATCAGCATGTCCACGGCTTCGCCATCGGCTGTGCCCAACAGTGGCTCCCCCATGCATTTGAGTAGCGGTGCGACGCTCTCGCAGATCGACAGCAGCAGCGCACATGCTCATGCTGCAGCCATTGGCAACCTGTCGGCTGTAAATACTAGCGTCAGTATCAAGTCCTGTGCCGTGCCACAGAATCATATTATTAGCGGCAGCATTTTTGAGAAGGACTATCATGGACTGGGACAACAGCAGCTGCAGCAGCAACAGCAACAGCAGCAACAACAGCAGCAGCAGCAACGGCATCCGGGCCTGGCACCACCTCATATACTCTCTAACACACCGCCCAGTGGCCTGAGAGGCAGTGCTGTTGGTGTTGGAGCTGTGCTGGATCAGCGTAACAATCATCATGCGCAAAAGTATGTGGCCCAGCATTCGAACATGTCGCAGAAGAAATCGCCCAGCTATGGCGGCATATCCAACATTCAACATCTGCCACATCTAAATGACAATTCGCTCGATCGCAACTCGCCAAACATTGCCAGCTATGTGACGCCCACGCAACAGCTGCCTGCACATCCACATCCGCACCATAATGCGCACAATTCAAGCAGCAGCAGTAGCCGGCGACAAGCTGTGGACGAGCTTGCGGCCTCCGTTTCCAGTGGCTTTGGCACTACCGGTGGCAATGGACCACCGCCGGCGAAACGTCCAAAACCTTATTGTCGTGATGTCAGCTTTTCGGAGGCATCACGTAAGTGTACCATCGCAGATGTGGCCTTCTTTGATAAGGTGCGTAAGGCGCTACGCAGCCCGCAGGTGTACGACAATTTCCTGCGCTGTCTGACGCTGTTCAATCAGGAGATTGTCTCGAAGACGGAACTGCTGGGCCTTGTCTCGCCGTTCCTCATGAAATTTCCGGATCTGTTGCGTGGATTTACAGACTTTCTCGGCCCGCCCACGTCCGGCCAGGTGGGTGGTGCAGCGGGCGCAGGCGGACTCATCGATGGTCTGCCATTAGCTGCTACCCAGCGACAGGGCAGCAACAGCAGTTCGCATGATCGGGCGAGCAGTCATCAAAGCACCGATTATGTCCAGGATGTGGACTTGTCCCTGTGTAAGCGATTGGGCGCTTCGTATTGCGCCCTACCTCAATCCACAGTGCCGAAGAAGTGCAGTGGTCGCACCGCCTTGTGTCGTGAAGTGCTCAATGATAAGTGGGTTTCGTTTCCAACATGGGCCAGTGAGGATTCGACATTTGTCACCTCACGCAAAACCCAGTTTGAGGAGACAATCTACAGGTGAGTAGTTGCTACTCAATAAGACTCGATGTACATAGCTGTATCCATCCTACCTACCTCTATTCCTTCGTTCTGTCTTTCTTTTTCTGTTATTTGTCACTGTTTCTGTTACTGTTTCTGTTTCTGTTCTTTGGCTTTCGTTTATATTTTATGAATTAACCAATCAACAAACGCTCTAAACAAAAGGAATATTCACAGAACGGAGGACGAGCGTTTCGAACTGGATCTGGTGATTGAGGTGAACAGTACCACCATTCGTGTCCTGGAGAATGTACAAAAGAAAATGTCTCGCATGTCACCTGAAGAGTTGGCCAAATATCATTTAGATGATCATCTCGGTGGCACGTCACAAACCATCCACCAACGGGCCATACATCGCATTTATGGCGATAAGTCTGGCGAAATAATCCAAGGCATGAAAAAGAATCCCTCAGTGGCTGTGCCTATTGTCCTGAAGCGACTGAAGGTCAAGGAAGAGGAGTGGCGGGATGCACAAAAGGTTTGACACGTGATTAAGAAATCAATTTAAAATATATATAAAATAATGACATGCCTTTAATTATTGCAGAACTTCAATAAGCAATGGCGGGAACAGAACGAGAAATATTATTTGAAATCTCTGGATCATCAGGCAATCAATTTCAAGCCAAATGATATGAAGGCATTGCGCTCGAAGAGTCTCTTCAACGAGATTGAGACGCTATACGATGAGCGTCATGATGCGGAGGATGATGCCATGGAAGCGGCGGGGCCGCATCTGGTGCTGCCTTACAAGGACAAGACCATACTGGACGATGCGGCCAATCTGCTGATACATCATGTCAAACGTCAGACGGGCATCCAGAAGCAGGAGAAACAGAAAATCAAACAGATCATACGACAATTTGTGCCTGACCTATTCTTTGCGCCAAGACAACCGCTGAGCGACGATGAACGCGATGACGGTAAGCAGAAAAGCAAGGGAAATCTTAGAAATCTTTAGCCTCCAACACAAAGCATACATTCATTTAATTATATTTTTAGTTAATAATTGCTACTTATTAGTTTTGCAACTTAGTCTTTGTTTTGTATAGAGAACTGCATGATAGATTCTGCGATTATCTAACTTTTTCATATATTCATTAAAAATTTTTAAGCAAAACCATTCATGATTATTGTCAAGGCCAGCTTGGCTGCTGATTATACAAATAGTCAAATGTTTATCAAATAATTATTTTCAAATTGTATAAATCATCAAGACAACAAATTTCAATATTAAATATTAATACAGATTAACCAAATGGAAATTCCAATATAATATTAGTATAAATTAAAACATTCCAAATTTGGCATCATCTTAAAAGTTTTCATGCAGTGATCACAATTAGCACATTAGACTTTTATATTTAAACATTAATGTATGATTATTTTTATTGCTACTAAAAATTTTTTTTAATTGCTAACTAACTGAACAGCATTTAAAATCATATTTATCATAAGTATTTATTAACAACATTAAAATTCAAAAAATTAATCTTATTCCCAATCAATTACTTAATTTAAAGTATTTTTAACTTAGAGAATGTGTTTTTTTTTTCGTTTTCTTTTTCTTTTTTTCTTCTTTTTGAAACACGAAATTTGCAATACATTTTTACAAATTTATTTAAAAAATAATTTGTAATTTAACCAACTGTAACTTGAATTGCCTAATTTTGACTAACCACCAAAAAAAAAACTGGGCGAACCACCAATCGTTTATAAAACAACACCACCAACGAACCACGATCACCACAAAAAAACCACACACACAAAAAACCATATTGTTGTCGTTGTTGTTGCACGCGAATATCTATATAGCATTTCCATTTTTGGTAGATGACACTAAAATGGAAGTCGACTCACCGCTGAGTCGTGTTGCTCCCAAAGCCGGAGGAACGGGCGGAGGCGGGGAGAGCGCCTCACCAGCACGCAGCAATGTGAGTAGTAGCAGCAGCAGCGTTCCCGGTGGAGCCAGTGGATCAGCAACAGCAGCGACAGTAACAGCTGTGACTGCCATTAAAAAGGAGTCAGAGTCAGAGTCGTCAAGCAAAACGTTGGCAGCAACAACAACAGCAGATGATGCAACGCCGTCAACTTCATCAGCAGCTGCGGCGGCTGCAGCAGTTGGCGATGTTAAGGAAAAGTCTGAAACAGATGCGCCACAAAGAGCTGTAATAGGAAGAGACGAGGAAATGGCAGCAAAGACAACAAATAACAACAACAATAACAGTGCAGTGGCAGCCAGTCCCAGGCGGAGCGAAGATGCAGCTGCAACAACAGCTGCAGCGGGTGTCGATGTCAGTGTTAAGCTGGAGCAGGGCGAGTGTGCGAATCCCTCGTTGCTGCCAGCACATGCGCAGGGCCAGCGAGAGGTTAGTTTAAATCTCTGAAATTGATCTCTCTTTTAACTTATACTTATGCCAATCAATCGCTTTTGATTACAGGATGAATCCTATTCGCTGTTCTTTGCCAACAACAATTGGTACCTGTTCCTGCGACTGCATGCCATTCTCTGTGATCGACTGCATGTCATGTACGAGCGTGCGCGCCTGCTGGCCATTGAGGAAGAACGCTGTCGTGTGAATCGGCGCGAAAGCACGGCGACAGCATTACGTTTAAAACCCAAGCCGGATGTACAAGTGGAGGACTATTATCCCACGTTTCTTGATATGCTGAAGAATGTGCTCGATGGCAACATGGACTCAAATACCTTCGAAGACACCATGCGTGAAATGTTTGGCATCTATGCCTACATATCCTTTACGCTCGATAAGGTAAGCTACGGTAAAAGAATATTTGCGAGAAATGTCAAATCTAATTCATTCTTTTGTATTTCCCGCCAGGTTGTTTCTAATGCTGTCCGTCAGCTGCAATACTGCGTCACGGAGCGCGCCGCATTGGATTGTGTTGAGCTCTATGCCAGCGAGCAACGACGCAACAGCACTGGTGGCTACTGTCGCGATGCACACAAGAGCTACGAGCGAGAGATGAGCTATCAGCGTAAAGCGGAGAGCATACTTAACGAGGAGAACTGCTTCAAAGTGTATATTGTATGTCTAATTAACTACCCAAATAATTTATATACAAATTGTGAGCGATCTAACGATATTTCATTTGAAAATTACAGTACAAAATCGATTGTCGTGTGACCATTGAGCTGCTCGACTCGGAGCCGGAGGAGGTGGAAAAGCCAGCCGCCCTAAAGGCGCAAAAGTTTAGCAAATATGTGGAACGTTTATCAAATCCCGCCTTAGGCGCCGGCAGCGGCAACAACAATAACAACATCAGCAGCAACAACAACAATAACAGCAGCAATCAAGCTGCAGGCAATGACAATCTGGTGGAAACGTCCGGCATCAAAACGGAGGAGGCAGATGAGATTGCCGAGGTGAGTGAAGCAACAAAATGAAAAAGATATAAGCGATGATACGCTTACAGTGCGTAAAGCTACATCAGCTACAGCAGCAGCAGCAGCTTTGTGTGTGCTTGACGAGTGGTTAAAAACATGTTGTTTGTGTATTCTCTGTTGTGTTCATTTGTTTGTTTTGTTGTTGTTAAGTTTACGAATTCACCTTAATTACGACTTGAACTTTCAAATTTAATAGATTTAAATAAAACTGGGTTCTGGGTATTTGTATAACAGGGTACAGTGTGTAAACTATAGCTGTACAGCCTAAACTTTCCTTTTCTACTGCAGATATATATATAAACTTTATGTATATACTTTTGCTTATGGCAACTATATTCAATGTAATTTTGTGCGTTTAAAATCAATTGTCCGCATTTATAAACTTTAAATAAAGAGCTTTGGGATTTCTTTATAATAATTTGAAGATATATTTTCTTGAGTAGATTCCCATGTGGAACCTAGTTACCGTTAGGTTACTAATTTGATTTGATTTAAATATAAAAGTCATTTACTCCAACAATGTACGAACGAGACCATCGGTCTTCAGCAAGTAAACAAAATATATCGACTAGTTCCGAACCAGACAGTTATTGAAATTATTCTTTTTTATACATGCATATGTACATATACATGCATATTGTATTGCTCTATTGTATTGCGTTTGTATATACATTTATGTTTTCTCTCTTACTTCATCCACTTGCCTTAACAGTTCTCATATCCGATGCCAGTTATAATTACGTTTCTTTTGTTTCGATTTTCTGTGATAAGCCTTTAGTTTTGCAGACCAATTGCGTTTTCTCTCACATTTTCAACAACTTTCTTTTTATCGTTCTCTTTTCTTTCCGTTTCGTCTCTCATTTCAACATGCCGCCTACCAATCGCCCACATATCCGTATGCGAACCAAACTAAAAACAATTAAAAACAAAAAATAATAACCAAAAAAAAAAAAAAAACAAAGAAAAAAAGAAAAATGTTCACTAATTAATGCTTTTTTCTGCATTTTTTCTCTCATTTTTTCCACTTTATTTTTTGTACCAGGTCAATTCCAAGGCTTGAAATAACAAAATAGTTTTGATAATTTCATTGAATAAGAAGAAGAAAAAGTCGTATTGCAAAATGAAATAGTAATAAATGAATTTGTTTTTTGAGATTAACCAACCAAAAACCGCAATAACAACAACAACAACAACATCGAAACAGTTTTCATCCAGCCACCCACCAACACCACTACCAGCACCACACATACATACACACACACCCACCCATTCATCCATCCATTTATTCACAATAGAAAATTTGAATGTAAAAAGTTGAAAATCATTTAAACATAAACATATGTAAATTTAGTACATAACCAAAATGAACACAAAAGTTATATGCATATATGAATATGTTAAATAGTAGTTTCCAAATAATATTCATAGGCACGCATTTATTGCAATTTATTTCTAATTTCGTTAATGTTTTGCGTTACGTTTCTCTTAAAACTCAAGCAAGAATAACAAAATACAAAAAATAACAATGTAAAAAGAAGGAAAAAGAGAGAGAGAAATTATAGTGATGGGTGCAAAGTGTGCTTGTATTTTTGTGTGTTTGTGTGTGGCAAAAGGCGATCGATTGCCACATCGATATGTTATCGAATACTGTTGGTTCCAAGCCAGATACTAGAGCAATGAAAACGTATAAATAAAAGTCTCAAAGCAAATGTAAATAATGTTTGTATGTATGTATTAATATCGTTTAGTTTAAGTGTTCAGCGTAGCAAATTTTTGTAAAGGGACGACAGAGTGAGTGAGAGAGATTACTTTAAAATGGCGGCTGCTCCTATAGCAGGCAGGCCATAGTCGTGTTATATATATATACATCTTTATATATATATGTATCTGTATGTATATATATTTAACCTTTTTTATAATTCTACACAATTACAAAACAAAAAACAAAAATATCAATTGTAAAAGCCAATTGAAAAATATATCTATATATTATAACTGAGCATTTAATGACTTTGAGGATCTTTTCCAATGGGGGTTTCTCTCGTTTATTTTGGTTATAGTTATTTTTTGTTTTTGTTATTGGGTTTTCGTTTTTGGGCTTAGTGCAGCTGGTGTGTCGCATACATACATACATTATGTACATATAATAGAGTGTGTATATAGTTGTATACGCTTTTAAGTTTTACGCAAGGTAAGTTTTATGCCTTACAACGCATTATTATGCATAAAATTCATTTAAAATTAATTTAGCTATTTGTATGAAAAATGGTTTGCCAGACACGCTTTAAATGTGACTTATTTTTATCTACTCTGTGTTTTCGGTGTATGTAAATGTTTTCATTTTTGTCTGTTTGTGTGTGTGTGAATACTGTTTGCGTATGCGTGTGTGACCGTATACTAATCGAATGTGTATAGTGTAGTGTTTATTTGTGAGTGCGTGTGTGTGTGTGTGTGTCCAGTCTTGGCCTGGTACTCTTCACAATTTGTGTCTCTCTTTTGTTTTTCTTACTCTAGCTAAACTTGTAAGTCGTCTCGTAAAACTTTATATATTTAGTTACACACACATGCATACATATACACAAACTCTCTTTGAAACATACACACATACATACACGTACAAAAAAACCCGTAAACCCTAGGTTAAGTTCTTTTACGTCTTTCGTCATTTGTTTATGTGAGAAAGCATGTTCGATTGCATTTTACAATTTGTTTACTTTGCTAGCTAAAACACAAATATACTTAATGCGTTCTTCTTCTTTTCTCTTCTCGTCACTCTTGCAGCTGGTTCGTGGTTCACGCAAAGCACGCTTTCTGCTGCGGAACAAGCGTCGCTCGCAGCTGCACGAGGAGCAAGTGCGTCAGCTCTTTGAACAAAAGCGCAGTTGCAGCGGAGTCGAATCGAAAGCTGCACCCAATGAAGCGACGCCCAATGCCAACAACAATAACAATAATAATAACAACAACAATAACAACAGTTGGAGCAAACAGCGTGCACCTGAACGCTTGGGCGCCTCACAGGTGGGTCTGGCGGAGCAATACGCATTCAATGATCGCGACGAGATCAGCACAAATACGAGTAATGGCCGCTGCTTCGTGACCAGCAAGAATCTCAATTTACTCAAATACGATGCAGTGCGTCGTGCCAAGAAGGTAGGACCACTTAATAATATAAATTGATGTAGTCCAGCATTAAATTATACTGTTTTTCATCTTCATAGAGTCATTGCCGCGTCACACAGGCCAAGTACACGCGTTTTCAGAGCTATGTCAATAGATGGCTGCAGCAACATGTCAGCGAGCAACTGCAGCAGCATTGCAGCGACTGGCTGCTGGGCAAGACGCCGGAACAAATCAATGCCAGCGGCTGGGGTGCCACCAGCAAAACGAAGTCGCTGCAGCAAAAGGATACGACGAAGACGCCTTATCGCATCTATACGCGTTATAAGGTGTTGCAGCCCAGCAATAGCAGCGCGATAACAACTGCTGCTGCAGGGCAGGCACAAGCGGCGGCAACAGTTGCAGCCACAGCTCAAGCCGCAACGGCAACAGTTTCTGCTGCTGTCACAGTTACTGCAGCCGTCAATAATGCCAACATCAGCAGCAGTAGCAACATTTTGAATGTCGACACAACAGCAACAGCAACACCCGCAGCTGCAGCAACAACAACAAACGCGCCATCGCAGCAACATTGCAACAGCGCCGCAGCAGCAGTTGCCGCTGCCACTGCCGGCAATGCAGAGACTACACTGCAACAAGTGCGACCAATGGAAAGCTAACCTCCAGTTGCAGTTACAGCGCCAGTTGTCATCGCCAGCTGGCCAAATGCAGCCTATATGTGAACTCGCTGCACCACAAGCAAGCTTCACTGTATGCAAGTGTTTTTATAAACTAAACTGTGATAACAGTTGCAGACGATGGCTTGGCTGAGAAGAGAAATCGACAGAAACTGAATTGGATAAAAAAACCACAAAAACAAATCCGCAGACAAAGCTATTTTTCACTTTGTACAAAAAGTCATTTAAATTCTAGGCGTAGTATTGCTCCTAATAATAATAATAATAATAATCATAATTAAATATACATTAATAAGCTTACTACAACATCTTGGTAGCGTTTACTGTTAGTTTTACAATAATTATAATGGCAGCGTTTGTAGTTGATAAGCAATTTAAACACACTCACATACGCCCGCCCACCCGTATACCCTGTAAATTGTTGCGGTCGTTCTCTAAGCATGTTAAAAATAAACCTTAACCTCTACCCTTTTTAACTGAAAACGATTGTGGGGAAAAGTAAAGTTTGTTCGTGCTAATTAAGTTGATATCAACGTCTGTTTTAGCTAGTAAGCAATTTTATGAAAACAAACATAACTTTTAATTTTACACAAAAATTTCATGTATTTTTATACAAAACAAACCTTGTACAATTCCTTGTGAATACTATTGATTATACACCTAACTTTTAAGCATAACTTAAGTTGTAAAAATCTGATGAGATAATTAAAAAAAAACAAAAATCAACAAAAATATATCAAAAGTGAAACATTGAATTAACGAATTCTGCTGAAATGGGCGGCAATTAGCAAGAATCGATTGTTATATCGAATATCAAAAAAACGAGAAGAGAAGAGAGAGGGTGAATTGTTTCGCAGACACGCATACACTTAAAGTCGCAAATTTGAGAGAACAAGTGGAAGGAGGAAAATAACATGGAGAACACATTGTAGAGTTCATTTACGTTAGTATAATTGGTTAGAATTCCAATCGAAATAAAGTATTTCCAATAAGTGTGTTGAAACCTTATAGTATATATATATATAACCATTATGCAGCAAGTGGTAAGCTCAAGTGCATAGAGACATATGTATATAGTCGAAACTAACAATAACAAAAAGTTACACTTATTCACGGTCATACAAGCACTCTCCCATTTGCATTCGGATTGCAAATGCACACATAGACGTGCGTACACGCTCACCAGTTAATACGCACTCACACACGGACGCGTACTTAGGCACGAGCATGCATACATACATTTACTTAGAGCTGCGTATTTAATATCATTTTGGAGATTATTTATTCAACTGATATAAAAGTAGATCAGCTATAAACATTTTAAAAAAAACTTTTTTAAGTTTTACATAATAACACTTTGACACTTAACTAAATTCGGTACGACTTGATGAGCTATGCGAATCATAATTATGAATCCATGCCTTGTGTGATGTGTGCTTAGAAACGATGCTGATTAATAATAAAAATCATTTATATATAAAATCACGACGCGTAATAATGCCTTCTATGCGATTCTCACTGTTGATGACCAGCAGATGGCGCAGACCTAAGGCCCGAAAGATATTGAAGATCCTGGGCACCGAATCATACTGTAAATTAAATATTTATTATTACTAAATTTCATATATGGCTATATAGTAGACAGCTTTACAAACCGTATTGACGCGCACGGGCGACGGATTCATAAACATGGACAGATCAACGGTATAATTAGTTTTCCGATCCAAGGGCCTTACGCTCTGAAATATTACAATAGAATTGCTTAAGTTGTACGAATTAAACAATATGTTTGTAGAGCTGCTTACGCTAATCGAAGGATATCGGGGATAAACATCTCGGAATGTTTGTATAGTTGTCTCCGGCTGCCAGAAACGTTGATTCTCTACGTAGAGCGATTTGAGCAATATGACAATTAGTTGTGACCTCAGGATAATGCCACAGACACGCCCCTCAGAGCGACGATCCTGCAATGCAAGCATGAAGTGGATTTGAAATCGTTCAATTGAGAGCAACAGCTACTTACGTCCTGAACATCGTCTACAACGGGAAATCCATTGTGATTACACTTTTGTAGCACTTTATAGATGTAATGGGCACGATCGCGCAGCTTGATGCAGACCACTGGCTTGCTCAGAATCGCTTCAGCAGTGAGTCCTTTGTATTGTGGCAGTGGCTCCCATGGCAGCATGGGCACATGATTCACTTCGATGACAGTGTCATAGATGCCATCATTGAAGTAGTCGCCCACCCATTTGGCACTGATTAGCGCTATGATCAGTGGAAAGAAGAAGGACGTTTCCACGCCCGTTGTCTCCATCAGAATAACGGACAGGCTAATGGTCATGCGCAGGACGCCACCCAAATTGGCAGCGGCTCCAATGAGGGCGTATTTGCCAGGATGCAGAAATTGCTGCCGAGCATTCAGATATAGGTTCAGAATATAAATTGAATAAGATATAACCTACTGCTTGCGGGAATATATAGAAGAGAAGCATGGCTACAAGACGACCCCAGGCAGCGCCCACCAGAGCCGTGGGTATAAAAACACCCAAGGACACATTCAGTCCAAATGTGGTGCAGGATAAAAAGTAATAGACAACTGTGAAAACAGCCAGCGTAAGGATTTTATGAGAGCCTGCCAGAAAACAAAAAAAAATTAATTAAAGCACTAAAGTACAATCGGAACAGCTTACCTGGAGGATCGTGGAAGAGCGCACGTACCGTAGCCTCTGGCGTTTGGAACCACAGCGCTGCCACGGCATTATATTCGTTGTCCTCGCAGAAGAGCTGCACGGGATGTATGGTAGGATCGTTGCCCAAAGGACGACAGTCATTGATGTAGTAAATCATGACGCAAGCCAAGGTAACGCCCAATATGGCAACCAGCACTGCTTCGCACACCTTGCCAGCTCGCCAGGGCACAAAACGTTTGCGGAATCCGTTGATGTGAGTATTCAAAGAGTTCCAGGCTGCGCCCAGTAGACCGCCCATCACGCCCAACAGCATGAACAGAGGCAGCTCGAAATATTCAAAGGTCAGCGGATGGTCGAACTTCCCCAAATTGAAGAGACCCGTAAAAGTCAACGCGCTCACGCCATGATAGGCAGAGAGCACAATGTTAAGAGTAAACGAACTGATGATGGAGGCGATGAGAGTGCGCCAAATAAGATTCTGATTCCAGAAGCTGGCCGCCTCTTCCAGTGAAAAGAGCATCCCGCCGATGGGCGCACCAAAAGCAGCTGTGACGCCCGCAGCAGCGCCGCCCAGCACAAAGTCTCGCTTCTCGTGGTCATCGCGAAAGGCTTTAAAGATGCGAAAATCCTTGACAAATGTGGTGCTCTTGCCCTGGGAAATACCGGCGGCCACAACAGCGCCAGCATGTATCATCGGTCCCTCCTTGCCGCCAGCCAATCCGCCCACCACAGATGTGATGACTCCGATAGCCTTTACGGCCAGCGTCTTGATTCGTACAATGCGAGGAATCTTCACACCATTCAAATAGCTCTTCACTTGGGGTATGCCACTGCCAGCGGTAATGGGTTCAATGTAGGTGACCATGCCGGCACCAATGGCCACCGGCAGAGCACTGAACAGTAGCCACCATAAATACGGCAGAGCTAGATCGCCTCCGCTCTCATTCACTGGCACATTCTCGTCCACAGCTAAGAGATAACAGAGTTAGATTATTCAATAAACTGAGAGCTGAACATATGAAAACATACATGACTTGAGGAAGTTGTACTTTAATTCCGAAAGAGCCTCGATGACTATATCAATGGTGCATGCTATCACAGCGGTTATAATACCGATTAGTATAAAGATGATCCAGCGTATAAAATGAGTACGCAGCGAGAAGCGATCCCTTAGATGACTAAGCTGCTCATCTTGAAAGAGCTTGTTCTCGCACACATCGTAGTCGAGGCTCTTGAGGAAATGTTGTATATAAATTCAGATTAGATTACACATATATAGTAAATAAGTAAGTACTACCTCATATTGCGCTTGTTTTTCTTGCGGAACTCCAGCTAAAGCTGCTGCTGTACGTGAGCGAACATGAAAAATGGGCTCGGAATTTGCATTTGAATTGATATTGCCCGCATGGCCAATGCTTTCCTTTAGAAGTAATTTGTTTCGTTAGTGCGTACGTGTGAGTATATATACATATATATATTTGATTATTGTATGATTCATTCACCACTGTTGAAACGCCATTACAACGCGAACTTACGAAAGACGACGGAGCTGCAGTTTCGGGCTCTATGTCAATGGGTAATAGGGGTGGAACATCTTCGTTATTTTGGTAATCCCCGTTTACAGCAATTGGCCGATGGTCGCTTGTGGAAGCATTTTGTGTTATTTCTGAACTCTTTGCTTTATCAATAATTATAACATCGTCATCGCTGCTTAGTTCATCATCCGAATTGATTAGTGGCTGTTTATTGGACATATTAAAAACTATAAAACCATATGAACACACAAAAACGTATAACTAAAATAAGCGAAGTCGTATCTAATATTCAGACAAGCTCTTTTTTATCACCGCTCGCACAACTGTTTCGATAACTGCAAGCAATCGAGTAGGTATCTGGTTCAGTGTTCTTTTGAACAAAAATATACCAAAAGTATGTTATTTTGTTTCACATTTGAATTACATAGAATAGCAACAGGTGTAGGTTTTTTATTATTATTTATTAGATTCAAAATTGAAATTCGGATGTAGAAACTGAAACTTAGCTACGTCGAATAATAAGCGTTTACGCTCGATTTCATTGCGTGCCTGTAGTTCATCCTTAATATCGGCCAAAGTGTTGTCAATCCGCATCAAAATTTCGCGCGGGGGTCCATTAACAAATGGAGTTAGTTCGTGTGCACGCGATATGCCAATTTGAACATTCTGCACCGTTTGGGTGAAGACTCCATGCTCCATGTCATCGCTTTGCATTGATGAGCTTCTGCTTAGATCTATTGCTTCCGGCTGCTCGCTTAGTATTTGTTGTTGCTGTTCCGGCTTGATCGCATTGAAAGGAGGCATGCGCGGTATACTGACCATGGCTGGCAAACCGATTGCATTTCCAATATCTGGATTTACCTCGAATGTGGGGCTTACCATTCTTGACCTCAGATTGGATAGCTGTAAATTATCATAGTTCATAGTTAGTTTACATTTTATACATTAGACAAATACTTACGCTTTGCACATCCTGATTATTATTATCATTGTATGTAACATTACTATTATTATTGTTGTCCTGCTTTGAGGCCGCAATGGATAGTTTGTCCGAGCTTTGACTATGGTCCATCGAAGAATCGCTGATTGAAATTGACTTAAAAACGATACAAATAGAGTGCAAAATTTGTATTTCGTATGTATGTATATACATATACATATAATTACTCATTCAAGTACGTGCTGCAGCAGATACATACATATATGCATGCGTACGTCTCAGACTACTTTTCGACATGATTTCGTATAAGTATGTATTTGTGAACTTATAACGGTATATTGCATGCGTTAAAATGGTGATCTCGCTCGCTCAACACATCATTTACACAGTTAGACAAAGACAACACATTTTTTAAGGTTCTCTTACTGTTCGTATGGCCGCTGCTTCCTCCTGTTCGTGATGCTCTTGCTTGTGTCGTTGAAATACCGTTTTAATTTTTAGCTCGTGTGTTTCTGTGCTCGTTGGCACTTCTATGGACGAGGCGGCGGTAACTGCAGCTAATGCTGAAATAGCGACCGACGATGTGGATTTTTTGCGACATTTGGCAATGCGTCGGTTTTTCATAATTCGATCCCGTCGTTCCACCAATGCTGCCACTTTCATTTCATGCAATTTGCCCAGCAAAGATGCATGCCTCCGCTATTTAATATTTGCAATGAAATTTTTACAATTTTTTTTACTTTTGTTTTGATTTGCTCGATAATTTTCAAATTGTTGTATCTCTCGGCCTACCTTGATATGCATGTGAAAGTTCCCAGTAGAGCGCACACTGCCCCGATAAATTCTATCCGGCGGACAAGAACAGCATTTGACAGTCACATTGTCGCCAATCTGGCTTTCGATGCGATAGAGCTCACCGTTCAATATGTAGGGTACGTGCTGGCGACGTTCTGGATCCATTTTCATGTCACCGAGATCTGACATTTGGTCCTCGCCGTGGTCAGGTTGCGCTGATTTTGGCATTGTATAAAAAAAGTACCATTTAAGCTAAGAAAAATGCGATCCGTCGCCTGCGAGCTACCGAATTAAATTGAACTTTTGCTATCCCAGTTTTGTATGTGTGAGTGTTGAAAAGGGAATGAGAACTCTCCGAAACTAGATACATACGTACATGCATCTGTGACTATAAATTGCTCTTAAAGAGGAATTCAAAATAATGTCAGAAGTAGAGTAAAGCGCGTGCAAATACATAGCTTTGGCAGTGTCAACTAGTAATTAATTAAAATTAATCATTATGTGTATTATATATATTAGTTCAACTTAATGCTTGTTGCTTAAAATTAACTAGATTAAGTGTATTTGCTAATAGCTTTACTTAAAATTGAATCGTAAGTATAAAATTCTAGATCAATTTTATTTTCAACTTGTGTTCAAGATTTGCGCGCTGCGCATTTATAGTTTACTCGATTTATTATCGATAAATTTGGTTGTGTATGCTGCAGCCCTGGCAATCTCACGTTTTTTTTTTTCTTATATCTTAACATAAACAATCAGAAATGACGGACATAGGCAAACCTAATATATTAATAACAGGTAAGGACTATGTTTAAACTACATAAAGTAAGTAACATATACTTTTTAATGCACAGGCACACCCGGAGCTGGTAAATCGTATTTGTGCGAACGTTTGGCCGCACAATTGAAGTTCACCTGGCTGGATTGTTCGAAAATTGCGAAGGAAAAGAATTTCATTGAGGAATATGATGATGAATACGACTGCCCCATACTTGATGAGGATAAGGTACAGGCACGCAAATTAATAATATTTATAGCTTATATAGTTTAACTTTGCTACAGCTCATGGATTATCTGGAGCCGATGATGGCCATCGGAGGCTACATTGTGGAATACCATGGCTGTGACTTCTTTCCCGAGCGTTGGTTTCATGCCGTCTTCGTCGTTAGCTGTCCCAACGGAACGCTTTACGACAGGCTCAAGGAGCGCAACTATAATGAGAAAAAGCTAACTTCCAATATACAATGCGAAATTTTTGGCACAATACTGGAAGAGGCGCGCGAATCATATAAATCGGACATTGTGTACGAGCTAAAGGGAGAAACTAAGGCAGATGCCGAACGGAGCTTAAAAACTGTTAAGAATTGGTATAGCATGTGGAAGCGCAAGTAAATACGAGTTTAAAAATAAATAAAAATATATTTATATGTGGATATTTAGATATATTAGTAATACGGCAGAGGCTAGTATAAAAGCCGTTTTTAAGCCCTGTAAGATATCTTAGCAATGGCGAGCTCTGCCTGACAGCAATCAGTTTTCGTATAAAACATATGTTGGCGATTGTATCTGTTTTAATCTAAACTTAAGAATGGCTGACATTGTCAATCATAGTATCGATTCATAAGTTTAGATAGCAGGGGCTCTTTCATTCGACACCCCAAACATTTAATTTACAAATGAAAAAGCCTTAAATTACAAACAAATTGGATGAAGTAACACTAGATGCGCGTCATTTTGAAGCGCAGTGGGCCATCCGGCGCATACATGAAGGTCACCGCATAGTCCAGCGGCGCATGATTGTATTCCAGTTTGTAGTTACGCAGCAGCTTGGCCAGTAATATTTGCATTTCCAAATCAGCAAACCGACGTCCCAGACACATGCGTGCCCCATAGCCATAGGGCAGTGAGGCAAATGGATGGAGTTTTCCTGGAGTGCCACCCTGATGCTCCTTCAGCCAGCGCTCGGGTCTGAATGTGGCTGCATCTGTAACGTATTCCTCCATGTTGCCAGTGACAATAGTGGGAAATACGGCCTGGAAAGAAAATATTATACTATACATAGCATACAGTAGACAACATTTGGTATACCTGCACGCCCTTAGGCACTTGATAGCCGCATATAACGCTGTCCTCTTGCAGTGTGCGACCATTGCCAATAACTGTGCTATACATGCGGAAGACCTCTTTGATGAATGCCTTCAGGTGGTGCATTTGGTCAAGCAGTGGAATCGTTAGTGGTGTCTTAGCATCCGGTAGAAGACGCATGAGCTCTTCGTGCACCTTTTGCTGCTCAACGGGTCGTGTGGCCAATTGATACAGAATAGAGCAGACGGCCATCGAGATCTGTGAAGATTGAAGATATTTTAGTAGGACCATTGATGGGGAGTATACTTTGCCACTCACTGTGTCTATGCCAACGAGTATCAGATCCAATGCCATAATAGTGGCTATCTTCTCATCCTTCTCCGACATAATCACCTTCTCCAGCAGCGATGGCTCGCCCGCGCGTTGACTGGGATCCTGTGTCTTCAAGCGTTCTGTTGCGCTTTGTATATACTTCATGCAAACGCTGGATTGAATATTAAAAAGATTGGTATTTGCTGGACTTGCTTTGCTAGTGTACTAACCCCACGAAGAAGTTCATGTTCTTCACATAACGTGTCCAGAGCGGAGTGGGAAAGTAGCGCCAGTAAGGTGCCTTCAGCTCCAGCGTGGCCACATTGCGTAGCGCATATTTGGCTGCATCGATGATCTGCTGCGGCTCCGAGTCGGGCGTCAGATTATGCTCCAAACAGCCTAGCCGGGCATCGAGTGCCACGCGACCAATGCCTGTGGAAAGGAGAAATCGATGAGTTCTATAAGAAATCTTTCTACACTATGTCACTCACACTCCAAGGACCATTTGTGGATTTCATTGTCAAAGTCAGCGGGCAGCTCCTCATTGCCATCCAGCAGCTGTTCGCAACGTGTCAGAAAATCCTCCGTAATTAGCTCCAGCGGTTGCAGATAGCGTCTTATGGTAGACAGCTGCAGCACAGGCTTCTGCACGCGAGATCGGAACTGACGCCATGGCTCGCCATGTCTATTCGATATATTTGATATTAATTTCGATATCAATATCTAGATATATTTTAATAGCTATGCTTACACGCCCACAACGCCGCCAAGCTCGCCAAAGAAATCCTTGCGCACTACGCTCTTGTACTTGACCAGACTGGGCATCGAGGGTCGGAAAGGTGTGGGTCCTTCACTGCGGTAGCACTGCAATCATTTAATCTTTATTAATATTTGCTCAGACATTGAAGTTGCTTGCGGCAATTTACAGCCGGTGCGTCTCAAATTGTGTTGTACTTGAAGCCGTGCTGCTTTGTTGCCTCGGTGGTCAGTCGAGCGTGTAATAAAGTTTAGACTTGTGTGTTCCGGCGTTTGGAGCTATGTCTACCTGTGCCTACCTTTTCAATTTCATCAGCATCGTAGATGAACAGCAGATCGGGCCTGCCTATAAGACCAGAGAAGCGTACGATTCGTCCGTATCTGTCGTGCAGCAGCGAAGAGATTTTGGCCACGTCCGATATGGTATATTGGCCAATAATTGGCATAAGGCTGTCAAGGTGAAAAGCAGATAATTGAATTGACAAACTGACATTGAATATGTGCAAAGACGGCACTATTTGCAGAGCAATTCATGACACTTTGGACAACACTTGAATGGTAATCGTCTGTTGTTCCATTTGTATATCTTGTATTATATATATAATACTATTATTATAGTTCTTCTATGCTACGGCACTATCTTAAATGATCGCGCAATTAGGTTTTTTTTGACTACAGAGTCTGGCTACAAAGCCATAATACAATTTGTTAAGATCTTATCAATGATTCATGAAGCTAATGCTAACCATAAATTGCATTCTAAATGAATGTAGCAATTCCGTGAGCGCATTAAGCTTGGAAATTATTGGCCTCTAGATTTGTGTTACGAGTCAAGAAATTTTTTCTATTATGGTAACCTAATAATTTTTAATTTATTTTAAGATATCTTTCAAACATTTATTAATTTATTTCTCTTACTTTTTTCAAGTTATCTGAAATTAATAATAAGTAATAAGTAATAAACAGGCAGCTACAATACTTAATGAGCTCCTTTAAGTTATCGATACACATTTTCGATAAATTATAATTGAGCACGGATTGGCCGTTCCCAGCTCAATGATTCTCTTAACATTGACAAGTGCAGCTTTTGGCACGCACGCACACACTCATAGACATTCACACATACAATGGATATTCGCGTAGCTGTATCAATAAATACACAAGTCACTATTGTTTGCTTATTATTTTCAGCCTGCAACGAAAGACTCGCACATTTTGTCGACCTTGAAACTGACGCTAATTGAACGCTAATCAAGAAGACGCTGTTAACAGAAACACCGTATGACTGGCGCTTCTGCCAAAGGGGACACTAACCAGATGCCCTGTTATAGCACATATGGTCAGAGATTGGTAAGTGGCTGTAAATTACGGAAGAGGAATAGTTAGAGAAGAGAGAGAAATTCAGAGGAATTTGCAAAATGATATACAATTTTGTTGTTGTTAAATATTTGTGTGGCATAATGGTCGTCATGGAGGGGAGTGAATGGGAAACTCGTTTGGTCATGGTCAGTGAAATGATGTATGCTTACAAGCAAAAATCAACACTCGAACAAGATTATCATCATTGGCTACGCACGCATACAAGCACACATATTTTACTCTCATATTCATTCACATTCCGTTCAACAGTAATTGGGTCAAGAGAAGCGAGCGAAATACAAGAAAAAATAACTGCAAACTCTCTCCCATTTCCTCCCTTTCCCTCTCTCTCTTTCTCTCTCTCTCTCTCTGTGTTTGTATTTGTTGGAAGTGCATTCGTTCGATCGCATTGCAGGCAATTCATTGAAAGTGAAAGCAACTTTATCGACAGTTTTTTTGTTTTTGTAATGATTTACGCACCGCCAGGTGTTGCCTAGTATGGGCATCGGCTTAGGTCCTGGTATTTCATTGTAGGCCAATGCATTTTTCCACTCAGCTGTGGCATGAATGCGTGGCGTTGCTGGCTCCTGGTCTAAGCCCAAATGTGGACAAACTGTTGCAGTTGCTGTAGGTGCTGCTGCTGTCGCTGCTTCTGCGACTGCAGCCGAGTTCTCACGTTGTTGTTGCTGTCCATCTAGGCGACGCTGTCGTTGCTCCACTTGCAGTAGCTGTGGCTGTGCACCAGCGATCTTGGATGCAGTACGTCTAAACGCAGGCGTGGCACAGTTTGTCGCTTTGACACGCCAAACACATTTCGGCAGTGAATTCATTGTTTTCGCTTACAAAAGCTTTAACTAATTTAAATTCCAATCAGATTTCACTCGTTTGCTGTTGATTTCAAATTGCTTAATGTTTTCTTTGACGTTGACACACACACGCACACAAAAACTTACACAGCTATTTAAAGCTGTTCATGGGCAAGGCAAGAATAACAAGAATCGTTTTCGCGTTTTGTCACAACTACAACTGCCGTCGACCGCTGCGCATTCGATGGCTGCCAGATGTAAACTAGTTGAAAGCTAAGTTAAGCTCGGCGCTTGGGCATCCGTCTGGGCTGGGCTGGCAACATTGCTGCTGGCGTCAGCTGCTTTCTAATGAGTGCTGATGTTAAAGCGCTTGTGCGCCAGCGCAAGCTTCAGCAAAATAGTATTAACTTTATGTTGCAGCAACATGTATAAAGATGCTATCGTACATACATACATGAATCTATACACATGATAACTTGTTGGTCTCTAGATTAACACGTGCTTTGGGTTCTTCCTAAATTCTAATTGGAGCTAATAAATGTGGCCTTTACTTTTCGTATAATGTATTTTATATTTTTTTTATTTAGATAGCAATAACTCTTGATTAACTAAAAACAGTTCTTACTCACATAAATGCTTTAACATGTTTGGTATATAACAAATTATTGCATTTTATTACAAATGCATACCATACCCAACATTTGCCCATTCGGAACTAATCAAATTTTAATGAATTACAAATTTGCAGAATAAATTAAAATGAAATATTAACATATAAATTCGAAAAATAAATATAGCAAATAATCTGGTTTAAAGCTTTCTTTGCTTTACGATTGGCTACTCGTGCTCGCAACAAGCCTAGCAACATTGTTGCCTGTGACAGCTGCTTGCCTAGTGTTAATATCAACACGCATGCGCGCTTGGTTAATTCTTGGCAACATTATTAGTTTAGATTATGTCGCTGCAACATTTTGACAACTGTTAATCAGTTTATATGTAAATAAATAATATATATATATATATATATATAACTTGGCTCATAATAATAATAACCTTTTCGATGTGGCCTTAATATAGCATCAGTCTATAGAAGTAGTCTGGGCTATAATTTACATGTTATTAAGGCCTAAAGCTTCGTCTCATTGGATCTGAAATATTTCTTCTGTATCTATGAGTCTTTCATATATATATTTTAATGTTAGCGAAGGACACTCAGTTATTTGATTTATTTTGAGAGTTTCGCAAGTAAATTCACTCAACAGTTGCACGATATAGTCTGAAAGTATCAATTTTTAGAGTGTTTTTCGATCGAGGAATATTAAGTAGTCGGGTATGCATGACTGCAGTGCTTTGACTTGTTTTTATATATAAAATATGCAAAGTGACTAAATGATATTCCGATAAGTAATACGAAATCACTTAACTTATCTCAGCCGCCCAATCGGAACTAATGGGACCTTAACAGATAATACGTTATATGCTATAAATTGGGATTACGAATCATAGGCGGGTCATTAGTAAACGAGCTATGAAGCCGATAACTGTTGGTCTGTTGATTGCGGTGCTGTCTCTGGTCCTCGCGTCGGTCGACTGCCGCAAATCCAAGTCCAGATTCACCAATGTAAAGTGCACCAGCTATGATGAGAGCTTCTCCAAGTTTCGCAAGTGCAAGCTGAATGTTCTCGGCAGAGGCATTATCGCAGCTGATGTATTCATATCGTTGTTCAAATTGCCGATCAATAATGTTCACGTGAGTTGGCAAATCAAATAGTGTTGAAGATGGATAGAAAAGGACATTCGTTCAAGGAATTTCAAGAATTCATTCATGATTCTGTGATGACATTTCGTTTCATTTAGTTGGCATCTGGTCGACCTTCTGTAGACCGGAAGTTCCACTTTTTTTTTTCAAATCTTTAATTTTTAAAATAAATATGTAATTACAGATCAACTGGAGCATATGGCGCCGCTATAACACATACCAACCCTTCCTGCATAATATCAGCTGCAATTTGTGCAACCTTTTTACAAACATGAAAAAGATTGCCTTCGAGTCCCTAGTGCTGAAAGCTATACAATCGAGCTCAAACCTGAACCACACCTGTCCCTACAATGTGAGTAGAGCTAATAATACATAGACGATATAACCTTTATATAATTATTGATCTCAGCACGATATCATTGTGGACAATTTGGTGTTCACTGACGAAATGTTGCAGTCGCTGCCACTGCCTCAAGGTGACTATAAGATACAATTGCGATTCATGAATGACAAGAAGTGGAGATTGATGGTCGAAGTGTTCATTCTACGAGATGAATAGCGAATTGCAACCCATAAATATGGCAACACACTTATGTGCAACAGATTTGCAAACAAGAATTTGGTATGAATTAAGAAGAATGCGCAAATTTTTGAAAAATATATGTGATACATATTGGAATCTGATTGGAAATTATAATGTCTTGTCTTCAGGTCTGGCAACAATGTTGCCCAAGTCAGTTGCTACAATATTGCCAGCTGCTAAACTAGTTTACCTACTTAGCTATACATATCAGAACTTGATAATTATTAAAAGAAAAAAACATTTGTCTGGCTATTACCAAATTCTAACTCGAACTAAACAATGTGACCTTAACCTAGAACTTGTCTGCTCAAATAGTCTATATTATTATGTGGCTGTTTAGAGTCTTGAGATACGCAACACACTCGTTTCCTTATCTAATTGGAATCGCATACACTAGTTGTATGGTTTCAAAGCTTTATATTTATAGCTTTCATCGGAAAGAGAGAGAGAGAGGGATGTTGTGGTAACTGATTATAGATCCAATGTGTATCAGGTTAAGCTAGATTTAATGACAAGTATTTAGCCATTCGTGTATGTAATTGAAATCCACTTAATTATTCATAATTGGCCATGCGGAACTAACGGTTCTCAGGCGGTTAATATGTATGTTCGTATATCTAGTTTTGGAGATTATAGATTTTTATATTGGGGTAACTCATTAGTGAAGGAGCTATGAAGCCGAAAACTGTGCGTTTTGTGATCGTGACTATGTTGCTGGTGCTCGCATTGGTCAAGTGCAAAAAGTCAAGGTCCAGATTTACCAACCTCAAGTGCAACAGCTCTGATCCCGAATTCGCGCGGTTTGATAAGTGCAAACTCAATGTCATTGGCAGAGGAATCGTTGCCGTTGACATACTGATAGTAATGCTGAAGGTTCCAATCGATAATGTATTCGTAAGTGTTATATATGTAATCAAATGTATATCTAATTAGATTGCTTGAACACAGAAGAAGATAGAGCTGGACCGTCACTAAATAGGTCAAAGGATATGCTGCGTTAGGATCGCAAAAACGTATGGGCTCATCAAAGGACCGAGGATTTCATAATCTTTTGATGGGGATCCATGCCATTGGTTCCTTCGATCCTAACGCAACATGTCCTGTCAAAATCCGCAAGGATTTATCCTAGTTAGACCTATTTTTCTAAAACAGGCTAACCTTTCTATAGCCGTAGCTCGGCCATATCCTTAAGGATTTGAAAAGGAGATATATTTTTCGGCTTGTGGGAAACACAGGTGTCGATTTGCATTCAAAAATTTGACGAATTCCCAAAAAAATTGTCCTTCAAATTATTGCAAGGGATATGGTCGAAAAACGGTCAGCTTCCACATTATTTTGGGTATTTGCAGGTCTATCAAGATGTCCTTTTGACCAAAGAAAGTCCTCATTATCTTGATTATGAATTAGCGATCAGAAGGACGATAGTCCTTCAAACAGCTGAGTTATAAGGACTTTTTTCTTACGAAGAAATAGCCTGTAACTCGGCTGTATCCTTGCATATCCTGGTGAAACAGGGGTCAAATGAAATGGGGTCACCAAGGCTACCAAGTGGCCAAAGGACATACAAGTCGTCCTTATGGTGTCCGAGATATTGGGTATTTTGTGTGTTGTGGTCACTTTCCTTGGCTGCCGAAGCCGGCTTGAAGGTAGAGTCTTTGGTGCTTAGATGAATCCATAATATTTTCTTAGGAATCGCTGGAGTAGGTCCTTCCGATTGTAAAGCAGCAAATCCTTTTGTCCTGTGTAAGGACTTCGCTCAGTTATGGCTAAAAACGTTAGCCGTTAAAATGTAGCAAAAGACAAGATTTCGTTGCATACCCCAAAGGAGCGACGAATGCACTTTGGTGGCTGATGCAGCGCACAGATGACAGATTTCATTGCATATCCCTCAGGGGCAACCTTTGCCCCTGTTTGCTATGCAACGCTGTTTTCACAGCTGGTGTTTTCTTGAGCTTTCGGTCATTTCTGTTCGCCTGGTATTTCAGCTTGATTTTATAATAATCTTCCTACTTAACACAAAAAGTTAATGCTAATTTTGTTAAAATTATTATTTATTCAGCTTTTACTTTGTTCTTATTATTTATACATAGATCAACTGGAGCATATGGCGCCGCTATAATAGCTTCCAACCGTTTCTATACAATGCCAGTTGCGATTTCTGCCAACTTTTGGCACGTCCGCATAGGATCGCCTTCGAGTCCCTTGTGCTGGCAGCTATTCAAACGAGATCCAATGTCAATCATACGTGCCCGTACAATGTGAGCAGAGTGTGTGTATGTGTGAAGTAGATATCCCCTTTGAACATAGTTTCGCTTTTAGCACAACGTCATTGTGGATAACTTGGTGTTCAACGATGCGTTCCTGAAGACGCTGCCACTGCCCCAAGGCGAGTACAAGATACAGCTGCGCTTTGCTACTAACAAAGTATGGAAACTTACGGTGGAAGTGTTCATTCTGCGTGAGGAATGATGCCAGATGATTCTAATTAATATGGCACTTCAGCAGCTTTTTACAATGTATTCCATATTTATTACAAAATTTGGTATCAAATAAAAGGTAAACACAAATTTCTGTGCATTGAGTTGTGTTAAGATTTGAATTTGATTTGAGATTATTGTGCATAGCAATTTGATGAAAATTCTAGACAAATTTCGTTCAACTGCCTTACAATAAATACGACGATGTGGCAGAAAGAATTATACAAACGCTTTTAGGCATTGCACTTTGAACAGATCAAAATACGATACAAAAGACTCGGAATCCTTATAGATATCATTACATGTATGCATATTCGTATAGTTAGTTAAATGTGTGTAAATGCTTTGCTGGCTTTACTAATGGATTACAGTCTAGAATGAATTATGTTAGCGAGCTTAAGCTAAGAGGTGTAACAAACTAAAAATGAAAATAAGATTACAGAGCAATAAAATAATGAAATGGCACGTCTCAAAGTCGAACACTAAACGAACACAGAATATACATAGGCTACACGTACGTTAATCGAATGTCTTATGTTTTCTTTTGATTTCAGATTATTTGTAGATACTAGAAGAGACTGAGCTTAAACTATGCATTCATTGTTCATGCCTTCGTTAGTTAATAGTTGTATTTATAGATCGATATATGGAGTATATGTTTAAAAGTAGTTTCCGTCAATAAATATTCCACTGGCCAGAGTCCTCCACATGAATTGCATTAAAATTAACTAGGCTAACATATACCTATGTGTGTGTATATATATATTTATATATAATTATATGTGTATATGGCGTCGCTTGTATTTACAGTTCTATTCGTTCATATATCGCACATGCAACTAAAGACTAAGCTAGAAACTATAAAGAAACTATTTAAAATTAAAATCGAAAACGAAATCTAAACGTCAACTAAATAAAAACCATTAACATTCCGAATTGTTACTGCTGCTGCTGCTGCTGTTCCTTTTCTTGCTGTTGTTATTTAGAACCAAGCTAATACTATTGGCCGTGTTAACACTCGAACTCATTGGCCGTGATGGCGCTGAGATCCTTCATCAGGCCCTCCAGATTGGCCATCTCTTGGTTCAGCTCCTCGGTGGATGTGCTGGGCGCCAGTCTTTGTATCTCATCGGTGGAATGCGCCACGGAGCCGCCGCTCTGCAATCGATTGGGCGTGGCTGCCGAAAATGAGGGCTTCTTGTACGGCGACTGATTCTGTGGACGTATTGTGACAGCAGGAGCTACAGAGAACGAGGGAGACGCGGAGAGTTAATAGAAGTTCAGACCGTCGCTGCTGCATTACTTACTGTGCTTGTTAATGGGCGTGGCAGCGCCAGTGGGCGGCGGGCCCGGTACACTGAAACTCTTGAGCGGATGGCCACGCTTGGCGCTCTCAATGGTGGACACACAGCCGTTGCCAGCAGCGCCTGCACCGCCCGCCGTGCCACCGGCATAACCAGCATTGCCACTGAAGAAAATGGAATCAAAAAATCAATCAATCAGGTGTCACATATTTTTTTTTCTTTTATCAAGGTCAAGTGGAAAACATATCGAACGTATTACGTTGGAACATAGAAATATATGGGATTTATGGCTTTATGCGTTGTCGGCAATCTTTGCCCAAAAAGTGAAGCACGCGCGCCTGCTGTATCTGTTCCGCCTTGCGGGCCAGCTGAATGTACGGCTGGCGATCCGCCGTGCTCATGATGCGCCAGGCGTGCATGGCCACTTCAGTTACCGTCGCCGAGGTGCGCATTGTGTAAACGCCCTTGAGCTGATGGTTAATCAGAATCTCGTCCAGGCGAAACTTGTTTAGGAAATTGAGAAACGGCAGAGGCGACGCCATCAGCAGCAGCTGCTGCTCCACATAACCCGGCAGCGTTCTATGATCCAACTGGAGCACACGATCAGCGGGACCATGCACAAGAGCGACCTGAACACTGGGATCGATGCGCCCCCAACGTGTTCGATTGCACATTTTTCACTTCCTCTGCTTTCTTTGCTTTTATAATTTTTTTTGTTGGTTTTTTTTTTGATTTTAATTGCTTTTTGAGTTTTTAGGTCTACAGATCAAAATGTGAACGAATTTTGGTTTATGATTTTCTAGAACATAACGAAATACAAAAATTGAAGCAAAAAGCCTGCTGCAGCTGCTATATTCTTGATAGAAAACAGCTTGAACTACAGAGCATCCTCATTACACAAGATAATCTGCCTGCCCCAAGAGCTTTGATTTGATAACATTTCCTGGGCAATTAAAACGGGCTTTCTTTACGGAGACCAGAGTAGAGCCCCATCTGTGCTCCAATACTTACCAGAAGTTGGCGTCATAGCCACCGTAGGGATGCTCCGGCGTCTGTGCCAGCGAATTGTTCTGCGGCTGTGTGAGACTCTGCTGAGAGAGACCCGTGTCCATGGTCATGTGCGAGCGATTCTGATGACTGTATTGGGTGCGTGGGTATTGGGGTCGCTCCATGGTTGAGTTCATTGAGGTGGCTGCTGGTTGGCAAAGGAGTGGAGCATTAGTATTTGATTGCAAATCAGGTTCATTTGATTCGACTCACTCATGTAGCCTGCCACATAGGCTCGCTTGTCCAGGGAGTTGGTTACGTGCGCTGGCACCTGGGTGTCCCCCTCGTATTCGCTGTGCACCACGGAGCGGGGCAGGGTGAGGGCACCGCTGCTGGATGCATTGTCACTGCAGACAGGCGTTGCAGAGTGCAGTCCCTTGTCAATGTTCTTCAGCTCCATTTGATCGTGATGAATCCATAGGTCCGGTGGCTTGGGCACGCCCACATTGTTCTTCTGATAGCTACTTAGAAAGTTGGGGCAATTAATAAAGTTGGGGTTCAGGTGTAAACATGTCCTACCTCTTCTTGGTGTGCTCTGGCGAAGATTGCGGCTTGCGGCGACAGAAGAGCAGCAGGCCAAGCAGCAAGAGGAAGAGCACCAGGACTGTGCTGCCAATGATGATGTAGAGGAGATTTTGATTATCGATGCCCTTGGCAATGGTGTCCGCCTCTTGCATGATGACCGCTGCGCTGGTCGTGAACGCCGCCAGGGCAGAGAAGGGCGCGTTGTTGCCACCCTTGGTGGTGCGTGCCTGCACCTTGAAGTAGTAGGTGGTGTAGGGCTTCAGGTTGGGCAGCATTAGCATCGTCTCGTCCCCGGCAAACGCCTCGATCGCCCAGTCCCGATCCCGTTTCGTTGTATCTGTCGTATAGTAGATATTATAGCCAGTTATCTGGCCAACTGTATGCTTCGGCGGCAGCCACTGAACGATCACATTGTGTGGATTCTGATCGTCGAGGCGAACACTGACCTCCCGCGGCGGCGTCACGGGCACATTCTGATAGGTGCTGTTCAGCACCGACATGGACCACGCCGACTCGCGTCGTCCCTTGACCACTTTAACGGCGAATTCGTATTGCGTATTGGGACGCAGATCGTTGATCATGTAATTCAGATCACTCGTGTTGTGGTAGCGATAGCGATTGGAGCCTGTGATGCCGTAGCTGATCGTGTAGTGCCGATTGTCGGTCACGTGCTGGTTCTTGTTGAGCATCGTGTCGATCCAGTAGACAACGATCGAAGAGCTGGACATGGTAATTGCGCGAAGCCCAACAGGCACCTCCAGTGGCACAGGCACATCGAGCGGCTCTTCGTCGCGGGTCTTGATGTTGTCATAGATGGGCGGGCCGTCGCCTTTTACATTGCGTGCTCGCAACGAGACCACATACTCCATGTTCGACTCCAGATTCTTGAGCACATGATAGCGCTCCGTTTCCTTCAGCTCAATGGTGTTCTCATCGGGTATGCCACGGCCCCAACCCAGCACATAGTTGCGTATTTTGATCTCCGGCTGCTGCGGAGGACCCCAGTGCAGTCCAATGTTATCTGCGCCCGGCTGTATATTGATCCAGACGGGCTTGCCCGGCACCTGTGTCTCATCCAGATCGTTTTCTAGCGTATTGGCACGATACCATTCGGTGAACGGGCCGGAGCCATTGACAGTCATCGCTGCAATCTTCACCTGGTACTCGGCATTGCGATCCAAGGAGTTCAGCTCGAAGTATCGTATATTAGCGGGCGTGCTCTTCGCCTGGGGCGCATCCTTGAACTTGCGATAGCGTATCTTATAGCCCGTTATTTGCCCATTGCAATCCTCCTCAGCCGGAGGCTCCCAATGCACAGTTATAGACTGCAAATGAGAAAGGTACAAATTAGAACTCAGATCACAGTGCTCTTGTGGACACTTACGCTTGAACTGGTCACCTCCAGAGTGACATTATTTGGCGGCTCTGAGGGCGTTGAGGAGTAGGTCTTCACCTTCAGCTCAGTGGAGGAATCGCCCATGCCATTGCGATTGAAGGGCACGACGCTGATCACATAGTCCGTGTAGGGTCGCAGCTCGGTGAGCAGCAGCTCCAGCGACATGCTGTCATTGTAGAGATCCGCGCCGCTATCGTTCTGTGGAGGAGCATGTGAACGGCGATCCACAGATTAAGCTGCTGAGCACTTACCTCGGAGTAGTAGACACGATATTTGAGTATCTCGCCATTGGTCACTGTGGGCGGCTGCCAGTGCACGTAGATCTCTTTGTGGTTGCGCGCATAGGCATCCACGTTGCGTGGCGGGCCGGCAATGTTCACCTCGGGCTGGGTGCTCGCCTCCAGGGGACGCGAGGATTCGCCCATGCCAAAGTTGGTGTTGGCCACGACACGGAACTGATAGGTGCGACCCGGCAGCAGGGACTGTATGCTCACTTGCTGATCCTCATGCGACTGGGTGACAATCTTTTGCTCGCTGTGCATTGGAATGAAACGATGAGTCGATGATCTGGTATTTCATCTAAGGCGACTTACCGCTCGCTGTTGTTCACGCGATAGTAGACCGTGTAGGAGACCACCTCGTTGGCGTTCTGCAGCGGCTCCTGCCAGCTGAGCGTCACGAAGCGCGGCTTCACAATCTGTGCGATCAGGTTGCGTGGCGGACTGGGCAGGCGGGCCACTAGGCCGCTGCTCAAGGGCTTCACATCGCTCGGAATCTCCTCGCCTGCGCTTAAATCTGTTGAGGCAAAATTGGATGTGGGGGACATTGGTTGTTGTTGTTGTGTTTGCTGTTGGTTCTTGTTCTTATGCTGCCAGGAGGCCAGTATTTTATCTGCGCTCGCATCGTCATAGTCATCGTCTTCGTCGGCGTCCTCGTCCTTGTCGTTCTGTCGTCGCAGCGCACTGATCTCGCCAGTCTCAAAGTTGCGATCGTTGAGCGGCTGCTCGATGGGACGCGCGAACTTACGCAACGGTATCTCTACGGACTTGTCGTCCGCATAGCTGTAATCGTCACTGTCCGCGTCTAGAAAGCTGCTGCCACCTGACTTAGTGCGCAGTTCAGCCGAGTTGAAAGGTCGTCGTCGTCGGCTGTTGCCGTTGTTGTTGTCGGAGTTGTGCAAGGATTTTGTTGTTTGACCTTGGGGTTTGCGTTGTTTGATTTTGGCTTTGGATGGGCAGGAGTTGAGATAGGATGGGATGGGACGTTGGGGTTCGATAAACGGTTGATGGAAATAATGATGTGAAGTGGAAAAAAACATGTGAATAAACAATAAAGTTAATAAATTAATTAATCAAATTAAAGGAAAATAATTAAATTCGCTTTTTCAACGCCCAAGTTTCAGTTAATATAAATCAAAGATTTCTTATAGAAAATTACATAAGATAGATGAATTTAGGTATATACACGATTTCCATGAGAATACAGAATAGTTTTTGAAGTAAATGTAGGAAGTGAATGTTAGCTATGTAGAATTGGACTAGTTCCTTGACAGAATATGAAAAATATAGAGTATAGCATTTATTTTGATAATAATACTATGTAAAGTAGAAGTTATAATTGTGAGCTGAATATCAGTTAAGATTGAGAGCTGTAAAAGTCTAGGAAATGTAACTGGTTTAGTGTTAAGTTAAGATCCTTCAAACTCTTTAGGACTACACTGACATAGAGTAAGATATAGATATATATATATACAATTCTGATATTTGAGACAGACATTTCACAGAGTTAAGCTACTGCAGAAACTCTATAAACTAACTCTTTACAATTGATTGATATGCTAACTGAATAGACTTCAATATCATCCAATTCTCCCTAGACCCTGTTTGTCCAGTCCCAATTATTGGGCGAGAGCGAATGAGTTAGTTAAATAAAAGTAACTTATATTTAGAAACAATACAAAACACATAGATACAAACACACACACGCACATATAGATTATATACAAAATATTTGAAATTATTTTACATGAGCTGAGGGAATTCGAGGTGTGGGAGTGGCGTTAATTTCGTTAAGTGAGCTTTATGATACAGTTAGAGGGCCGATTGCGTAAGCTGGAGCATAGAATACTGGAGACCAAGCAAGAAGAGTCTACTACTACGTATATACAGTTGGTACAGCTGGTCTCTTACCTCCTGGTGGCACAACACGCAGTCGGGCTGATGCCTGGACAGAGCCGGCGGGGTTGGTGCCGACGCACTGGAACATGCCCGCATCGGAGTAGAGCAGTCCACGGATGCGCAGATTGTGGCCATTGACAAACTGCAGATACTCGTTGGGCGTGATGACGTCTCCGTTCTTTAGCCAGCGAATGGTCGGCTTGGGCTTGCCGTGGATGGCGCACTCCAGGTTGAGTACCTCCTTCTCGGAGGCGGTCTTATCACGTGGCGCCTGGATGAACTTGGGTGGCACCTGTACCTGCACCGTCGCCTGGGCGTCCAGCGAGTCCACCGTGTTGCTGGCCCGGCATTGGTAGTTGCCCGAATCGATGTCCTCGGCGCCGGATATCTGCAGCGAGCCGGTGCCGGTGATGGAGAAGCGCGAATCCAGATGATTGAGATCCAGTTCCTCGCCGTTGCGTAACCACTTGATCTGCGGCTTGGGCACCCCATTGGCCACACAGTCCAAGGTGACGGTTTCGCCCTCGCTAACCGTTTTGGGCGAGGGTCCCACTAGGAACGAAGGTGCTACCGCTTGTTCGGCACCTGCTTCCACGGGCTTCTTGATGTTTAGGCTCGTCTTGCTGCTCAGACGGAAGGCACTGCCCGAGGTCACATTGCA